TGTAAGAGGCAGAAGGAGGTGTCTTTGACTACCTTAAGTATATATAATCCAGATCAGAAGATGAATTTGTGTAAGCTCGTTTATCTCGAAAATTACAATGCTAAAGATTTGAAATATAATGTGTATGTATTCGTATTATATTTTCTTCGATATCTACATCTTATTCTATAGCATCTATAAATATCGATTTTAAGAAATGGGTATTAGTTGGCATAGTTGGAAGATCATAAGATCATATTCTTAATCAAAAGCACGATTTGTGTGAGCTCGTTTTTCTCGCAAATTATAAAAGCAAGAGCTTTAATATTGTGTATTCTATTTTTTTCGATAACTCCTTCTTCTTAGTTTTATAACATCGATAAATATCGATTGTAGCTCAATGAATATAAGAGCTGGTCACACCAAACTTGCATGTATGAAGGTTCTCGTATAGCTTACGCAGATTAAGAATGTTTCGCTTTTTGGATACCCTTCTCCTACTCCCCAAAATGAATATTAATTAATGTAATACGAAAGTTGGAATGCTTGTAAAGTAAGCTTAACGCTGGCTTTAGGGCATCTCCTAGTCGGGCACTCTTAACGAGAGCATTCTTACTTGTTTTATTTGCATTTTTTCTACAATTTGATTTACTTTTTGTCATTTAACAAATTATTTGTACAATTTTGAAGCTTTGTTGTGGGCAACAAAAGCGCCCCGCTTTTGGTCAGTAAATTTTTCACAATTAACTTTGGAAACTTGTTATTTGTTGCCACAGCTTGAACAATTCACAAAATTTGAAGAAGTCGATTAATGTTGCGAATCATTTAAAACTAATTAATATTACTTAAATTAGGCTAAACAAATTTGCGACACACACACACACACCTGCCTAGGTGTTATTTGAGGCCAAATGAAAATCGCTTTGATTTTTATGACCGCAAATAATTGTCAATTTTTTATGAGTTTGGCATTAAAAATCGTCAAATTTTATTGAACCCACAGAAACTAGAAATGGCAGCTCGTGTGGGTTTTGGCCGCGCCGCGAAGTATGCAACAAAAAATGTTGAGCAACAAAAAAATGTGTCGCGCTTTGTGTAAACAAAACTTCAGCGCGAGCGAGTCGTATTTTTTTTTGTGTATATTTTCTTCTACTATATTTAATTAATTTAACGACTACTTGAGAAGTTAGCAGCGACATGCGTGTGTGTGTGTGTGTGTGAGAGAGCTAGGGGCGGGGGGCAGGGGCCAGCCAATGGGCCTGCGACATGAAAAACTCATTAAAATGTTTACAGGCGCACAAAATCAACAAACCAACAAAAGCGACTCGAACAGAGACAAACAGACGAGTGAAAAATAAGAAGGAAACACACACAAAATTAAATACAGCAACTGAAATTGTTTTCATTTCAAATATATCAACTAAAATCTCTCGAAAACTTCCTAGAGAAATAAGTTTGTTTAGTTTTGGGGCGGGCGAGCGACTCGCAAAAAGAAGTTTTCAAATTAAAATAGTTGCTTGCTTTCCATATTTAATGTGTGCAAACAAATTAAGAGTTGAAATTACAATGTGGCTGCATTTGGGCAGGCCACAGTCTAATGTATCTAACAGATACAAATGTATCTGCAGCCAGTTTCTAGTCGTGTTTTTTTGGCTCATTTATAATGCAGTGCGCGCGACGGGGCCAACGTGTTTATGATTATGATTTGGCCGTCTTTCGCTCGTTTTTTATTTGGCACACACACATACACACACTCACACACACAGTGCTTGAAACTGTTTCGGTTTTTTTTTGATGGTTTTTGGTTTTTTGGTTCAATGTTTTGCGGTCTTTTGTCTGGTTACAAAATTGGCAGCTAACATTTGTCACAATTTAGCGTCAAATTTAAATTTAAATAAAATATATTTTGTCACGCACACACTCACACACACACACGCATTTTTTTAATGACACTTTTGGTTGAAGCTGGGCATGCGTTTAAAAATGCATGAATATAATTTAGAAATGCAAGCGATATGCGAATATGGTCGAGAGTAATTTTTATTTGGCTTTCCGCACGGATAGCAAAAATTTGTCAGCTGACAAATTTTCATGCGTTTATCGCATGCGATAAATTTGTTGCAATCGGACTTTAATTGCCGCCAAGCATTAAAATGTCATTCAACCGTTAATTGGCCGCTGGCGGCACAAAAATTATATTCTACTTAAAATAAAATACAGCCATAATTTAAAAGTTAATGCCACCGCAAAAAAAAAAAAACACAGCAAAACACAACACAATACTCAAAGGCTAGGGCTTCAGTTGTTTTCGGTTTTATATTTTGTGAAATGTTTATGTGACCCCAGGAAAAACAATTTCAGATACTTGCGGCAATTTTGCAAGTCTTGCGAATCGTTTCGTTTGCAATTAAACAGATGCCTCTCTACCGATAGCCGAGGTCAAAGGCATTCAAAAGAGGGTCAGAGCAACTGAAGTCGGTATGTTAACATTGTCTTTATTCGTATGTAGAAATCGAACAAACATCTTTAAGCTGAGCACTTGACTGGACTCCATAATGGAAAGCCTCAAGGGTGCATTTAGTCGCCTCTCTTTTATATATACATTCAAATGAATGCATATATCCTACGACTTATTGAAGTATTTGCGTTTATATATACTCTACATTTCACATTTCACTTCACAAACTTTCATCTGCATTTCTTCTTATCAGCTGCAATTAATTGCGATCAATTTGCTGTTTAAATAATTTTAAATGTTTTGTATTAAAGGCAAATTTATTTGTGTATTAAATATTGCTTCTTATCGAAGATATATTAAATAAGAAGATAATTTGAATGAATATGCATTTTAATAAAAGTCAACAATGAATATTAATATTTGTAGAAGGGGTTTTTTAAATATTCCACGAGCTCCATTTACCAAAGTCTTAAATGCAGTTTAAAACTGAGCTTTGGGTTTTGAATACCAAGAAAGGGCATTAAATATTAGCCATATTACTATTTTATGTCCTTCTATTTGAAAAAGTACTACGAAAATGTGTTCCAAAGATCTATCTTTAAGATCTTTATCCCACTGGAGCTTAGTTTCTATGTAAAGTTTGTTTAACAGAGAACACTTTCAAGTGCAGGTCGCTTCCTAATCATAATTAATAAAAGCCCAATAGCTTTGACAATAACTTAGAATTAAATTCTTTTGAATAACTAATACAATTACAAATTTCTCTTTAATTTCCATTTTTGATAACTCAAGTACGTTTGATACCAAGAACTTAAGTAATACCCTACTATAACTTTTAAATCTGCCGCATTACTAAACTGAACTTGAACTCTGTTCATTTGATCTTTGTTACATGAACTTAATTAAAATTATTAAAAAAACTTTGAGCTGTGTTGTGCACATAAAATAGTTCACAACCTTGAACTGAAATATGCAACATTTTCCTAAGCAATTCCATTTCTTTGAAAACATAAAATATCAAAACAGAGCTTAGTCTTCTACTTTGCCCACCCATTACCTAATATTTTCCATATTTCTTTATTTTTTTAGCTCTACAAAATCTTTTATTTTTTGGGTTTTTCCTTTTTGTATAATTTTATGACACATCCATAATAAATATAAATTTTTACAGTTGAACGATTTGGTTTTACTTGGGCAAGTTTTTGACTTTATTCGGTTTGTTTTATTTATTATTTTGGTAAAGGTTAATGGCAATTTAATTTGCAAATTTTCGTTGTTTTTGTCTAATTTGTATGTGAGTGCGACAATGGCCATAAATAAGTCATTAACTCGTTTAAATAGCTTTATTAGCCGCATATGATATGATGCTAATGCTTCGAAGTTTGGGTTCTGGTTCCATGGGCCCGATAGTTAGGTATAATGTGTGAGAAATTGGCTTAGTTTTAGCTAGTTGAGTGTTTTTTTTTTGGTTGGGTCAGTAATGAGATCGTTAAATGGCAATTGGTTTACACATAGGCATGATTAACCTAAGATTAAATGGAGGGAAATATAGAACAGAACTATGGGAAAGCATTTAAATTTAATTTTAAAGAGCATGACATTGAGAGCCTTTAAGGTTATTTGGATTAATAAGACTGTAGTCAATATGCTCAATATTTGTAAATTGAACACATAATGTTTGGCCCAATATGGGAAAGAGATCTAAAACTGTGATAAGCTCTACCAAGAAGAGGAATATTGTGAAGTTTTTAGCTCTGATTTGTTCAAGAAATGGAAAATATATGTGTATATGAAATAAGTATTCTCTGTTGGTAGACCCTACTCTATTTGTATCTGAAAGATTTGAGGCCTGATCAGATATTTACTATTATAAAAAGGAAAGTTTGCACTTTCCCTATTATAAAGTTTTCTTGCCTACCGACTGGATCTTAATATTCTATTAATTTTAATCGTCTGCATATTTATGTACTCTCAGGATATACAAAATGGATTCTCGATTGAAAAACCTTTCGCATATATGTATTTCCGCTGTGGATATATAAACAATCGGATTGTTATATTCTCTGAAGTATCTCTTAAGTATTATCGTTTATCGTTTGAAGATCCTTTCGAATGTTTAGCCTCTGCTTCTATAATAACAATCGGATAAATCGGATTGTTTTTACAGAATGTTTTGGTTATCCAACAATTGAATTCGTCATTCTCATATATCTTTAAAAGTTTTATGTATTTAGAAGAAACTCCTTTTGAATCTCCTAACTAGTATCTTAGCCCTTTTTACTTAACAAAATCAGCTTGTTGTTACTTAAACTCTTGGTAATAGGTAATTCAACATTTGATGTGTAAAAAGAGTAAAAAGTATATTTAAGCGTTCTGTACTCAAATAAAATGCAAATTGCTCAGTTATTTAGCAATATATTTGCCGGCTTCTGTGAGTTGAGAACTGGTTTTGAGGCGCAGCTGGCTCAAAATTACCGACGGCTTCGCGTCGACTTGAAGAATATGATTCATGGACCGATTTTCAGTTTGTATTGCCGTATATATCTATATATAGTTTACTTACTTATCACATCATGGCCGTGACAATCCAAATCCAGGTGATGATTCATCACCAGCGATGGCTGTAATCCAGTTTGATTGTGATTGTGATTGTGCAATGGTAGCTGGTGAGCCAAATGGCCACCAATCTCTGCCATTACCATATATTTGGCTTATAGACCGGCAACCACCCAAAAACACTTGAGAAATATCAAAAAATCAAAAAAGCGTAACTCAAAATTCTGCCAAGATATTCTGCATTGAGCATCAAGTGTTGTTTTCTTGTTGGCGGGGAGGGCGGGTTTTATGGTTGAGTTAAGTTTAGCGATATTTCGATTTTTGTTGCTGCTTTAAGGCACTTTTGTACAGTTTAGTTATGTTAAGATACTTTTGTATCTATGTATCTGAATTTGCACGCACTCTTTGGGCTTTAGCTAGAACTATTGTGACTGTGCCAGTGGCTGCTGCTGCTGCTGCTGCTGCTGTTGTTGTCACAGTTGGGAACACACGCGAACAGGTAAATGTAATAACGCCATAGGTCGAGGGAGCGCAGAGTTTCGTATTCTCGTATCCAAAGGCGACGGCGGGCAAACGTTACCAAAAACGACGACGACGACGAGAACGGCGAAAGGCTACGGCTACGGCTACGGCGACGGTGATGACGACAACGAATGCGAATTGTTAGATTGTGCGTGTGTGTGGTGTGTGCTTGTGTGTTGCTGTCGTTGTTGTTGTTGTTTTCACGTAACGCACAACAGCAACAACAACAATTCTATTTACGAAACGACGCGTACCTCACGATGCTGACGGCGCTGCGACTGCTGAACGACTAAACCGGCTGACCGTGTGTATCTTTCGGATTCACAGGCAAACTTACAGATACTCGCGTTCAGTCGTTCGCCTCGCTCGCTCGCTTCGCCTCGCCTCCGTTCGCCTCGTCTCGCCGCATTCGTGCCCTGCGCCGCTGCCAGCGTCAACGCCAGCGCAGAGCTAACCCCTCGTTGGCTAGCCGCACGCTGCGCTGCTCGCACGCCAGCCGCTCGTGCGCTGTGTTAGAGCAGCACAGCTAGTGTGTGCGTGCGTTGGACGCGCGCGCGCTGCAGCAGCTGCAACCGGTTTTGTTCGTTTTGGGTCTGGGGCGCGTCTCGCAGTTCGAAAAACAACAAAAACAAAAGGAAACAAAAACAACAGCAAAACAAAAAAGAAGAGAAAAGAAAACGGGCAACAGGAACAGGTGTTTGGCCGTGCTGCTCGCACACAACGCTTGCCATCTCGCTTCGCACGTTTTCTAAATGGCGTCCAAGCGGGCCAATCGGTTGGCGCCACTGCGCATGAGTCGCCCCCCACACACTGGCGCGGCTCACTGACACAGCTGAGTGTTGCAATTGCCGTTGCCGTTGCCGTTGCCGTCGCTAACTTTTGCAATCCACAGGCAACATGATGGAGGCAGTCAGGCCAACCCTCCCCCCACACGTTTTCCTTGCTTTTTCCGCTTTTTCATTTTCTTTTTTGTTGCTGCTCTTGTTGTTGTTCTTGTTGTTGTTGTTGCTGGTGCTCTTCCTTTTTGCTGCCTTTTGCCTTTGTTTTGCCAATTTCGCTTTTGGTTTTCGAAGTTTGTACTACAAAATGGTTGCACTTGTAAGCAAATGCCGCTAGTCTGCTCCACCTACAGAACGACCACCCCCGCACACCCGCACCCTCCCCTCACCCTTCACCCCTCTCCCATCATGTTAGCTGCAATTGTTGGCTGTGTAATGCGCTTGTCGAAGTTTTTGGCAGCCACAGCCGCACCTTGTCTTGACTCTTGGCTGCGGCTGCCACAGCCAATGCCGCTGCTGCTGCTTCTGCTGCTATTTCTGCTGCTGCTGTTGCGGCTGTGGCAACGTCTTTTGGCCTCGTAGCTAACATCATAATAATTATTGATCTTTTGATTTTGGGGCTTGTGCTGCTTGTGTGCGGGCGTGCGTCTCGTTTACCGTTTACTGTTCAAGGCTCTGTTGCAATTTTAATGACATGTGCCACGCCTGCGCCGCCGCCCCCTTCAAGTGTCTGTGTGTGTGAGTGTGTGTTCTGTTGCGGTTACCCAGTTCGTTGACTTGGCACCCAGTTCCGCCAGCTCTGGCTGATGATTTGTTTTAGTTGCTCGTTGGCAGTCTGGCTGATTCCCAGTTGCCATTATTTTTACCGTTTTTATTTGCCGCTGCTTCCGTTTGCGCTGCGCTGCGCTGACGAGCTGCGAGACGGCAGCTAGTGGGTGTGGCAGGTGGTGGGCTGCTGCTGCGGCTGCGGCTGCTGCTGTTGCTTCTGCTGGGGTTCGTCATGTTGTAATCAAGGTCATCAGCTCCGCTTGGGCCACTATGCTCAGTCATAGCCGTCGCAGTTAGCCAGACGCTGACATTAGCACACTCACACACACACACACACACAGGCGCACACAACACGTAAGCGCTGCCACAACTGTAAAAGCTTTCGCGCCATCTCCTTCATGCACACACACACCTCCACACACACACACACGCAGCTGGCCAGCAGCAAAAACAGCTGACTGATGTGTCTGTTTGTGTGTCTGTTTGTCTGGCTGTGTGTGTGTGTGTGAGTGCTGGTGTTGTTGTGTGCCCGGCTGGCAGCATGATTTCAAAATTTAATTAGGTCCCGTCCATTAATTGGGTTAATTGAAATGCCGGTAAAAGTCTGGCGAGCAGCAGCTCGCTTACAAATTTAGGACATGTCACTCAAGCAGTGCTAGCTCCACAGTAGCCCGACCCACGCCCCCACACCCGCCCCGTCAAGCACTTCCACCCCTCCCCCTGACTGTAAATGAAATGTTTTCAACTTGTTGTTATGTAGCATTATCATTGATGTTGCTATTCAATTGCTATTTATGAGAACGAGCATCGATTTGCCACAATTAATCGAATCACATTCTCAATTACAATTTCTCCGAAAATTGGCAAAAATGTAAGTTGAGGCTTTCTAGCTATATTTATGTTTATATTATATTATATTTAGACGAAAGCAAAATTGATGTCCTTATATCATATGACTTTCCTTTAACACTACCTTTTTACCACTTCTTGGAATTTTAACTATTATTAAGCTCTGTACGAACACGAATTCTAGACCATGTAAGATAGTCAGGGTAAATATAAAATTGAATGTAGGAAACATTTTGTCTGTTATTTAAGTCAATTTGGTTAAGGTGCAATAAAAGACTTCTTACGGTCGTTAAGAGTTAAAACCTCAAAATATTATATCAAAAATATATTGGACATTATTAAAAAAACTAAAAATGTAAATGTAAAAATGCAATATTCTCTAAACTAAATTTGTAGAAAATTTGCATGAACATGTCCAATATGGAAACCATTAACGGTTCCCTACTATAATATATATAATCTGAACATTTTTTAAAAAGTAGAATCTTTGTTTTACTATGCATTAAAATCGAATTTTCTCTGTTGATTTACTTAATTTTTAATATTATTCCCTTACTTTAATCACTGAGGAATTGGGATTCGAGCTTTGCAGTATTTAAACCTTACTTTCAATATTAACTCAAACTTTTTTAATGAACTTCCCATCCAACTGATTCTCATAGAAAAATGTAAGTGATAAAAAGGACTTCACTTACCTGACCGCGATATTTTCGCTTAGCGCATTTTCACTTGAAATGGATATGGAAATTTGGAACATGAATTGATCCCACAATTACGATTCGCTTTTTGTTGCTTTAGTTTTCTGACTGGCAGCTTCCATCTCACGCTCTCTTAACTAGTTAATTAGAAATGTTGTTGCACCTTGATTGCTCCCAACGTTGTTTGCTCTCAGGTATTGATTGCCTGCTGCCCATTGTCGATTGGACAGCCAAAGGTTAGCAATTGTAGCAGCTGAAATGGGAAATCGGTAGCCACTTTGGCAACCCTGTTGGATGTCAGTTACGATGCGAGCTGTAACAAAGAAATATATGTAAGCAGAGATGCTGAATAGTCGTACCTAAGAGTTACTTAAGTTGGTTTAAGCTATCATCAAGAATAAGAATTCTGTAGGGAAGTTTATAATAAATAATACACATACCACAATAGTCTAGGAAAACAAAATATAAATATTCCTATATTCAAGGATTTATCCTTTTCAAGAACGTCGTTAATAAAATATTTTTTTTTTAAATATTATACCTATGTTTTCTCTTTACTTCTCATATAGATTAAAGCCCACAATCAGATGCTATATATATGAAAAATACATCTGAATACAAAAGAAACTTTGTTGCCAAAAATTTAGATAATCGCTTTTAGTTTCTTCCAACCTAAACGTGAGTCCTAAAGTCTTAATAAATAAAAGTACTTGGTTTTCCAAAATTGTTTCTTATTGGAATTCACACAAGATGCGCCCAGTAGTTACGCCTTTGGGGGTGTGGCTGGATGGATGGAGGGGGGTTTGCAAATGTTTGCGTATATTTAGCATAAACTGCGACTACTTATGAAAGCAACAGAACCCTACAAACCAACTGAAACCCGTTTTATTTTGTTGTCTAACCCGAAGCCGAACGAAATGCAAATTTCAAATTCCAATTTCAATTTCAAATGCGAGTCTCACTGGCAGTTCGTATCAATCTCCGGCCGGGCCGAGCTGGCTGGCGACTCTGGCCTCCACGGAGAGCTCGTCCGGCGACCCGGCGCGTTGGCCCCCGTCACGTTTGCCAAGCCAAAGCAAATAGTAAAAATTTTATGCAAATAGAAACACGCAAAACACCTACGCAAACATGAAGGCACAACAGCCAGCGGCAGGTGCGGAAAAGGCAGGGGGGGGGGGGTGAAAGAGGTTCAAGAGACGCGGCCGGAGCTCATCATCAGGTGGGGGATGCTGGAGCTACGACTTGCGGTTCATTTAATTTTCGCACTTGGCGGCTCACACAGCTACGGAAAATGCCGAGCTACCAAATGTTTAGGCAAATGCTTAGACCAGAGGCGGCACGTAGTGGGGGGTGGAAGTCTTTTGAGGGCGGGGGCGTTTAACTCATATGGTCAGCTGGGCCTGGGTTATAGGCCTGCATGGAAATCTAATTTGCAATGTGGCAGAGAGCTTTAAAGGCCCAAACAAGACTGAACAGACAAAAAGAGAGAGGGAGAGACAGAGAGGGAGAGAGAGAGAGTGGGGCCGGGTGTATAGGGTAGGGGTGAGTGTGGGTGGGACAGAGTTGCCAACTGTTTTCGCTGCATGACGTAGCAGCTTATTTATTGTGTGAGGTTGTTGAGGTGTGCTGTGTGTGTGTGTGTGTGTGTGTGTCCGTGCCACGGTTTGTGTGCCAGTGCGACGCACGTAACCCGCAGTCGGCAGTCCGCAGTCCGCAGTCCGCAATCCTTCGTCCTGAGCTGCCGCCACACACAACAAAGTCCAGAGTTGACTTTTATAGAGTCGCATGCACAATAAAGAAGTCTATTATCCTTTTTGCCAGCGCCGACGACGACGACGCTGTTGTTGTGCCACGTTATTATTGTTGTTGTTGTTGTTGTCGTTGTGCGACCGACAACTGGGATCGATATCCATTAGGAAAATTAAAATTGTGGCAGAGGCAATGAACGTTAAAAGCGGAAACAGCAGTCAGTCAGTTAGTTAGTCAGGCAGCAGCCCAAAAGGCCGACAACATCAGTCAGTCAGTCTATCAGTCTATCAGTCTCTCAATCAGTCAGTCAGTCAGTTAGCCAGTCAGTCAGTCATTTATGCAGTCAGTTATTCATTTAGTCATTCAGTCAGTCGACTAGTCATTCATTCATTCAGCTCGCTGAACGGTAAAGCTTATTCCGACCGCCATTTGT